ATATATAAAATTTTTCATGATCTTTATCATTTAAAGGAGATTGTAAGGACCCATTTAGACCTACTGTATCTGTTCTGTTGCAGTGTATTAACGCAACACATCCTAGTGGACCTGGAGTCCGACTTGCATTATTTTTTAAGTAAATATTCACTTAAACTAAACTTATCTAACTAAGAATATGGTAGTGCGCTACTGTGCCTGGCACTGCAAAGCAGCATGACACGTGTGTTGCCATGCCACGTGGTAACATATATGTGACTGCAGTGCATAGGTCTGAAAGGGCCTCAAAGGTTTTGGGTCAATTTATTAACATTTTTTTAACTTTATGTTGTTTTATTAATAATTTGTACTACATTTACTACACTTTTATTACCAAACACACACATTTTTTTTTACATGACAAAGGATTCCCAGAACACTTTGGGTTATCCAAAGAGACAGAACATCTATAGCAGCCTGCTTCATGGTTGGCTTTCTCTCACTGAAACTTCAGACTGAGTTGTTTGATAAGGGATGAGTCACTCATTTCTGTATTCAAACTGAGCTAAGGAGCTCTGTTAACAACATGATTTTTTTACAACTGCTAAGCAAGTCTTTGTAAGACAAATGAAAAGGAAACTAAAGCTCCACCTTCTAAAGATAAAGGATATGTAAAAAAAAAACACTACACCTTTAATGTAAAATAGATTGAAACCCTACGTGATGATATTTAGTTTGCTAAAGCACTGTATATCAAACAATTGCCATTATTATGCATAACATTTTTCTAACCTTTGTTTTACATCTCAGTGCGGATGATCTCTTTCAGCCTTTTTTAGTCACGTTCTATGTACATGCGCATGGGCCAGGGTCAGTTGTACATCATTGTTAAGGGCTGGTTTCCTGATGCTGACAACAGTGGACCATGCTTAGGTAATGTATGTCAACACAGCCATTCATGGTCTCAACCAGGGCTACATGTGACATTGTGACAATGCAAGAACGCAATTTGGAGACAGTTGTCACTCCAGAACAGGAAATGTCTGAACAAGGATCTTCTGGCAGGGTTTCTAGGCATTCTTACCTGCTTATTTAAAGAGACGTACGACGCCCTAAGCTCACCCGAACTGCACGTCCGTACGGGTGCAGGTGTCCGTACTCGTACGCACGCAGCACGGACCTGTACGGGCTGCCCATTTCTCGTGTGAATGAGGTCTAATATGTTAGAGCTACTATTAGATTTTTGTGGTTGGGTTTAGACCTAGTTTAACTACATTCTGTTGTTGTACTGATTTGGGCAGTTTGGAGTTTTCTTGCCATCTTGTGGTCATAATTAATACTGCAGTTTTTCTTTTTTCTATTGCTGCGTTGCTAGCGTTTGTAAAAGACCCCCAAACCATATATTTTCTGAAAGCACAGGCCTGGTAGAATAAAAAGATGGTGCTACTAATTTTGTAGGTCCTGCGATAATTGCGCAAATGTTTGTCAAATCAATATTAAACCGATGAAAATACACAATTAAATGGATAAAAGCACTAAAATCAGAATCAGTGCACAAAAAAATACTTTTCTGACCAAATCTAAAAGATAAAACTGTATTGAGCTCATAAGTAACAAATATGTGTAAATTTAAAATTGCGCCTTTTTGCAAAAGCGTTAAAAAAATTAACACAAAACTGTAAATAAGCAACTTATGTTAAAAATGGTTTGTGTGCTGTGCTGGTGTCTGCGTTGTGATAAAATGATACAGGCGTACATTTAATCACTACACATGGCAATGCGTCACAACGCTTTGACATGTGCTGCTACAGTTAAATTAATGTTATTTTAAAAAGAAAAAAAATCAAGCACTGCGTTCTAACAACGCTTCGCAGCGCATGCGCATGGTGTACACCACAATATGGTGCACACTGTTGCACATGTATGCTATCTGTGTGTGTGGGGGGAGGGTGGGGGTTGTGTTTTATTTTTTATAATGATTTTTTTTTTTTTACTGTTGGGAAGCTTCTAAATAGACCCCTGACATTTCCTTTTTTGAAATAGAAAAAGAAATTGAGGACACAGAGTCCTCAATCCCTTTTTCTGCA